TTGGCATTTTAAGCTTGTGGTAGATTTACGACATAGCCGTCTCGTAGATTCTGAGACCCTCCTCACACGTAGTACCGCGCGTGACATCAAATTTGCCACCCTTGCGTTTCGTGCAAGCTCATGCCAAAGTCTCCCCGCCATGGTCGCTTCTGCAAGAATTTTTCGACCTTTTTCGTGCTCCATTTTTTTGAAGACCCGATACGCCACAATGTCACTCATCATATAGTGACAGTAGGAGCGCCGGTGTTTGCACGTGCTCGTCGTCTCGCTCCTGACCACTACAAGATTGCACGCCAAGAATTCGAGCACATGCTTGCACTCGGATACGTCCGCCCCTCTTCCGGTGCCTGGTCGTCACCGCTACACATGGTTCCCAAGCCCTCAGGTGACTGGAGACCACTCGGTGACTACCACGCCCTCAACAAAGTGACGGTACCGGACCGCTATCCGATACCTCACATCCAGGACTTCACGGCATTGCTGCATGGTTCCACCATATTCAGCAAAATTGACTTAGTAGAGGCATACCACCGAATACCTGTCAAGCCTTCCGACGTACCGAAGACTGCTACAATAACACCTTTTGGCATGTTTGAATACATGCGTATGCCCATCGGTCTACGAAACGCCGCACAAACCTTTCAGCGGCTCGTGGACCAGGTACTTCGTGGTTTGACCTTCTGCTTCGCATTTATCGACGACATCCTTGTCTTCAGCACCACTGCAGAAGATCACGAACTTCCCCTGCGTCAGGTTTTTACACGACTGCGCAAATATGGACTAGTCGTCAACAGACCAAAGAGCGAGTTCGGCGTTTCCTCACTGGACTTTCTCGGCCATCACGTGGATTTGCAAAGGATCTCTCCACCGGCCGCGCGTGTTGAAGCTATATTGCAGTTTCCACAACAAACAAATACGAATAAACTACGTGAATTCCTCGGGCTTGCCAACTATTACAGGCAGTTTATTCCTCATTGCGCTACCATCTTGCAACCACTCCATGCACTTCTATCCGGTCAAACGAAGCTCAAAGCTTCCATCTTCTGGACGAGCGATGCAGAAACAGGTTTTAGTTCCATCAAGGAAGCTCTGGCTAACGCAACGCTCCTCGCGCATCCAAATAGTGACGCCATCACGTCACTCACAGTGGCCGCCTCGGAAGTCGCCATAGGAGCAGTCTTGCAGCAGTTGGCCGATGGAGCAGCCGGTCGCTTTCTTCTCACGGAAGCTCTCACAGACCGAGCGTCGTTATAGCACATTCGGTCGCAAACTGCTCGCGGCTTATTTGGCTATCAAGCACTTTCGACACTTCCTAGAAGGTCGGCAGTTCCATATCCTCACCAATCACAAGCCGCTTACGTGTCAATCGACCGCTACCAACTCTGCCCACACCCCACGTGAGATCCACCAGCTTGCCTACATATCGGAGTTCACGAGTGATATCCGGCACATCAGTGGCAAAGACAACACCGTTGCTGACGCGCTTTCCCGAATAAAAATCAACGCAACTATGGATGAGCGCCCACCAGTCGATTTTGCAGTCATGGCTACTGCACAACAGGACGACAGCGAGCTTCAGGTGTTGCAACTACAAGAGAACTTCCTCAAGTTCGAAGATGTCCAGCTTCCAGGAGGCGAGATTCCCCTCGTTTGCGAAATCTCTACTAGCTGTCCTCCCGGCTACCTCATGCAATGCAAGGCGCCGCAGAGTATTCGGCGCCTTGCATTCCTTGTCGCACCTCGGTATACGTGCGACTCAGCGCCTCATCACAGGGCGATATCTAGGCGCCGAATGAACATCGACGTCCGTGGCTGGACACGTGCTTGCCTCAAGTGCCAGCTAACCGAAGTACAGCGCAACACGGTCAGCCCACTGGGTACGTTCACGCTTCCTGACTCACGGTTCAGTCACGTGCACCTGGACCTCGTAGGCCCTTTGCCCCCATCGCAAAACAGCCGGCATATGCTAACTTGCGTAGACCAGTTCACGCGGTGGCCTGAGGCACTACCCCTCACCGACATCACGGCAGAGCCAGTCGCCCGCGGACTCATCACCGTGTGGATAAGCCGCTACGGAGTCCCCAAGACCATCACAACGGATCGAGGTCGTCAATTTGACTCCGCGCTCTTCCGCACCTTGTCCTGAATGCTTAGTGTCAACCAGATCAAGACGACGGCATACCACCCGATGTCGACTAGCATTCATGGTTGAGCAATTTCACCGTCAACTCAAAGCTTCGCTAATGGCCTCCCAATCATTGCGACTTTGGACGGAGCGACTACCACTCGTCCTACTCTTCAGCTGAGCTCGTATTTGGCACTACCGTAAGGCTTCCTGGACAGTTTTTCGACACGTCACCGGTATCACCATTGGACGTAGCTGATTATGCCAGTCGCCTCAGAAATACCATGAAAGATGTGTCACCTATTGCTGCACGTCAACACTCACGCCCAAGTTTCGTCAGTCGTGCGCTCCGTGACTGCACCCACGTCTTCGCGCGACATGACGCAATCAGACCCCCACTGCAACCTCCTTACGACGGACCATTTAAGGTCGTCAAGCGTTGTCCGAAGCATTTCGTTCGGCTACTTAATGGACGCGAAGACAGTGTCTCCATTGACCGCATAAAGTCGGCTTTCCTCGACACTGACGCCGTCCTCGAAGACTACAAGCCATCCGCGAAAAGCAGTCGAACGCGCTTCGCAATAGCAGAACCTACAACCTGCTCATAGGATTCGCTCCTTCGCGCACAGGCTATCTCGCTAGAGGGGGGCCTTATGGCAAGCCGTCAGCGTCTCGGAGAAGGCGAAGTTGTGCTGCAGCTGCTCCGCGTGTTCGAGGCAGCACGAGAGAAGACGCCAGCAAGAACGGCAGCGTCTGTGGACGTCCATGCCAGAGCAGTGATAAATAAAATATGTAGGAAACCAAACGCCACACGTCTTCCTACAAATATCAAAGTCGCAGGTGCTGCCGAGAACTTTGGTTGTGGTCCGACGATGATGTACTATCACCGTCAAATGAAACTCGAACAGCGGCAAGGCTTCGCGATAGTCTACTTACCACCGTCTACTTATCACTCCGAACGGGCACGCATATGTGCGCAAAGCTGCTGAACAAGATGCGCGTGCCTGTCAATGGTGATAACTGGACGGCACGCACTATACTATCGCAAAGGCTTGCCGCCGTTCGGGTTTCATTTGACGCTGATAGTACGCGCGCGACGCGAGACCACAGGTGTGGCGACTGCCGCGCCAGCGCCACATGGCGTCACTTGAATACGAGAGGAGTCCTATCGCGTGACGGCAGCGCCGGAACGCACTAACCGGGAGATAAAAAAAAGCGATATTGAGATGGGCCAGCACAAAATGTGACGCGATGTGCGCGTCTACCCAGGCCTGCATGAGTGGGCGGACTGTGGCTGAGGTGGGGGGGGGGGGGGGTTGAGGACGTAGGTACGATGGCTTTTTAGGCCTAGCGGCACTGTGATCAAAAGAGATATTTGATCGGCAAGGTACAGACTTGGATAAGATCTGTTGTCCTAGCGGCTAATGAAGGAATCGAAGCCGTTATTAGCACGGATTCAATTCACTTGGTATTCTATGAAATCGTAGATGAGATTTTGAAGGACAAAAAAAAAAAAACCCCTCCATTTTTGACATCCAATAAAAAAATAAAAAGGAGGAGGAACCGAAAATGGGCAGGTAAATGGCATATATAAATGCTACTCAATGATGGGCACATTCAGTGGAGGGGGGAGGTCTGCATGTCCTGACACCCCCTCATCCCATAATTTTTTTTTTCAAGGTGAGTACACCTCATATACTCAGCTTTAGGTATCAATGTTCTTATAAGCTCACCTCTCCCCCCCCCCCCCCCCAAAAAAAAAAAAAAAAACGAGGTTGAGACCTATCGTTATCAAGAAGCCCATCTAATGAGAAAAATATGGTTGTGCATTAGAATGACTGTACTAACAGTACACTATAGCACTGCAATGTTCTAATCTTACTAAATTCCTCTTCCAAAGCCAAATTTTTTTTATAATTAAGCACAAATTGGCCTACTACTAATTGAATTTCATCCAAAATCTAAGAAATATCTTCAGTTATTGCTCTAGAGCCCTGCTGTTGAAAAGTTCAACCTGCAACAATAACACATTTTCTTTTTTGTCCTTGGAAAAAAAAAGAAAATATGTTGTACTAACCCAACAGGCACACTTGAGCTAACTAGCACAACTTCTGTTTTAGTGTTCAAGCCTCGTTATATGTGTGAATGTATCCTTTGGATGACATTTACAAAGTAAACAGGTGACTTTGAACAATTTCTGTCTAAACATACCTTAGAATTTCTAAGTGAATTTATGGAAGGCTTTGTGTATTATTTAAAACCCCCATCTTTATGAGGGAGGGAAGGGAGAGGAATGCTGCATCCAGGCAAATGATCTCTCACTTTTTTTAAAATTTTCCTCCAGCTTGTTGGTCTCTGCATAGCTGGTTTGCAGGACTACATCTGCTACAGGCAATAACAATGGTCATGCATGAAGCAATGAATGGCAACTGTGAAACATGGCAACGCGAAATGACAAGCAACCTCGATAAAATATCAGCTGCCATGCCAGAAACAGCCAATCGGCGACACGCCTACAATCGAGACAGGATCAGTTATTGAAAATGGCGTGTACAAATATTCATGAGACCGGCACACCTTTGAGGCATTCCTATGCACTCGCATTTCTCTACGCTCACCAATGCCAAGTTTTCTGCATGAACGCTAAAAAGTTTAAAAAGCAATACCGACAACCACTTGGTGTTTATGCTGTGCAACCAGCGAAATTCGCACATTTCAAATTGTAAGCTGTGTGGCTAAGCTTTGCGGGCCGCCGATACATGTAGGTTGAGGACACATCGCCTGCTGCCCTAGCAGTACAACAGTAAAGAGAATGTGAAGAAGGACCAAGATGCCATTAAGTGTAACTATAAGCAACAAAATAAGAATAACTTACGTCAAGTGATTCAATGCCTTGCAGCCGGAGGACTGTTGACATGCGCTTGCGGGGCAGCTGCCCCTGCATGGCCTTCTGGTGCTTGCGTGAAGTCGAGTGAGACCGGATGTCGCTCAGCTTGGCCGTGAAAGTGATCTTGCAGTTCTTGCAGAAAGCTATGCAGGCATTCTCTGCCACAGGCGCCAGCCAGCCTGTTTTGTTCGGTAGGGGAAGAAAGCCATGCACATCAAGGGTGCAGTTCTGCAATATCATCAGCTTTACGTGAACAGCGTAGCTCAGGTTTTATTTCTACGGGGATTCGTGGGAGGTGGAAAGGAGCAGTGGTGGGAATCGAGGAAATTACAAGAGTGGACACACATCTTGCCATGGTGGCCATTTATATATATACATAAAATCTGAATTAAAAAGTTCTTACTGCCATGCCCCCTCATGAGGCTGATGGGACACCCCTTTTACACATATTTGACCACCTCCCGCCCACCCCCTTTTTTTCTTTTCAATGAAAATCAGGAACTCACCTGTGATAATGGCACGCTAATTTCAAGTGCTTTTTTTTGTTTTACAGGGAACCTTATAGCAGTATGCATCCTTTCTTAAACTTTTGGAAATCACTTGACCTCCTTCACTATAAAATATTTTAGCACTTTGCAAAGAAACCATCAGCAGGACAGGTGATTGTGTGAACGCCTATGGGTGAGTTTTGTACTTACAGCACATGTAACTGTAATTGCCAAACTTCATTGGAGAAGTAGGAAGACTGTATTGAAATGATTACTGCACGGAACTCTGCAATCCTTAGCATGTGCCATTCTAAAGATGTTTTACTGCGTAATCTATTCCAAGTGTACCAAGCAGTGGCTGGGAAAATAACGACACTGCAGCAAAATGTTTCAACAGTTGCAATCAGTAAAAGGAAGTATCAGCTTGTATTTTTTGTTGTGAGGAAGCCCGGAGTGACATTTGATGTACAGTCGGCCAAATCTTTAGCTATTGTGTGTGAGTGGCAGTTTTTTCTTTGTATTTTTGCCATACAACTTAATTAAGTTTCAGTTGAATTAAAGACAAGTGTATGCCCATAAAGCACAAGTTCATGAAGCAATTTCTTGTAACTTTGTTCCATAATATGGCGCTGACAGGCAAAAAAGTGGCCGCTGCACACAATAGCTAAAGTTTGGCCACTGTACATTCTCACTTTTTATACTGTTTTTGTTTTTTGGCCGTGTAAATATACTTTTTTTTTTTTGGTGGGGGGTAGGTGTGAAAACACAAGAGAAATGCATACATACATTATTCCCTTAGAAAAAGAAACCTGACTTCGAAAAAGGTTCCTTTTCAGCCTTTTACTTCAGTACCTGTTTGGAGGACACTGATGTCTTCTTCACTTTTTACTGACTTCTTTAGTGTCGTTACTATAGGGCGTGTTATTAGAGTTTATTTTTCTTGAAATTGAGAGAGTGTTTATCGAAGCTTTTTTCAGAAAACTTGCTGTTTATTAAACTTTATTCCTCATAAATCTTCAATTGACTAAAATTTGGTGTTTAATTTTACATTTTAAGACACTGCATGTCTTCCTATTAATTTTACCTTAAAAAATGCATTGAATTGTTGCTCATAATCCTGTTTTTTTATCCTTTTATATTTTCTTTTCTGACTTCCTGCTCAATTACCGTGCTAATAAGGCTGCTGAATTGCACTGCGGTAAACTCTCCAGAGTGTACTTTCAGGGAGATGTGTCCCACCATTTTGCTTCCAGCCTTCGTCATCTTCTTTATGAAAAAAAAAAAAGACTTATTGTTATTCTTAATATTTCAAAATCTTAGATAAAATGACATGTGAACACAAATACATGTTAACAGACTAAGTGTGCTTTAGATGTCAGGAATGCTTGAACCTGCAAACAGAAATACAAGCACTGGTTGCTTGAACACAAAACACCTCAATTCGTTCGCATTACAACCTTACAGCTTTTTGTAATGGACGCAAATATACTTTGGCAGGTTGCTGCTGCTGCTGATAGAGGTGGCACTCTTTTCGCGTGATGATGGGCAGCCTTGAACATGTGCTTTGAAAGTTAAAGTGGCCTTTCAAAATCAAAGCTTATCGAATAAATACGAATTGTCGAAAAATTTACCGGCGAGTGTTGATTGAATTTTTTAAATCTGAAAACACACACAGAGTCCTACTTATTACCAATAATTTTTTTACGTACCTTTCACTTTTGTATGCTTTATCTGTAGATGGCATCACACATTGCTTTTTTTTTTAAGTTAGTTATTTAATTTTTCACTACTAAGATAGCTCTACATCAAAACTGTATTTCTGATACGGCATTGTCTGTATTGTGCATAGTTTGCAGCTTCTTTTACCTGGTACTGTACAAATGTAATTTGCCAAAATAATGACTCCCTGTCTCACAAACTTCATGAAATGATGACTAGGGCTTTTCTTGATCAGCCAGTAAAAAAAAAGGCAGATGTGTGTCATCAGAATGTTTGTGGCTAACCACGTAATACAACCACACTTTTGTACACCAATAGAACTTCACTGCTTAGAACTTTAAGCCCCAAAGCTGCAAATACTCTGTGCGAATTAATGTTCCTTTGCATTTTTGTCAGTATACTCTATGGTACTCGTCTGAACCCTTGTAAATTAATTTGTCTGCTCTACTGCAGAAACATTTCAGCACATTTGCTCCCAAATTGAAAAAAAAAAACATAAGCAGGAGAGACTGGTGAGCAGACTAGATGCAACAAAATCACTTCTCAGGATTGACTGGGGAATAAATCAGGATGCAAGTAACAAGAGATCTCTGTACAGTGTACAAGACATGTTAACCATGTGTTTGAAGAGTACAGGTTGTGTCCCAACAATGCTTCTCAGTTTTTCCTCGTTTGCCTACCATTAACACGGCATCAGCGCAGCTTTCAACGCTGACAAAACACGAAAAGACCGACGCCAATGAACTACTTGTCTATTTACTGTGTTGAAGGTTGCAGTGTTTATTTACACCACATAACCATACCAACTCGCTCGAAATACACAGCAGTATTTGTCTTACGATATTTATTTGGACCATGTATGTGCACTATCTCGTTTTGATTACATCAAGTATGTACGCAGTGGAATAAGAATGTGCATCATTAGCCGATCCAATGATTTCTTCTGTCACCCTGAGAAGCAACGCTACACCACGGCTCAATGGTCTGTGAGCGTCGCTCGTGTACAGTTAAAACGCCCTTTGGAAGTAACGAAACTAGCGCGTGCCGTCGCAGTTTTGACGATGCATGCACGTGGGGACCGCAAATCGGCTGCAAAAACGGCGATGCACACCGAAAGTCGCCGGTGAGCATGCATGCCATGCGTGTTTTTTTGGGAACGGCCAACACCGGGTTGAATCGAGGATTCTTCCATAGGGCGCCGACTTCATTGTTACACTGTACCGTGCCGTGCAACACAGCAAACGCTCAAGTCGGTACGGTAGGTGTTCTTCGGTGTACCGTTCACGATCACACGCGGCTGTGGTCGTAGTTGATTCGTTAAGACCACTCGGCAGCGGCAATCGGCGTCGCAACGGGAAGGCTTAACCAGTATACAAATGCCGCACAAGCGTCTACGAATGCCGTACAGTGCCGCCCGTCTGTATTACGCATTTAAAATAGACTTGATTGATTAACGATACATGCATGTCGAATGCTCCGCAAAACTCAGCGAACTACACAAGCCCCTGGTGCCACACAGGCTATAGCATTACCGTGAATCCGCTATACATGACGGGGAAATGGACGACGCCTGCAAACCGCACTTTTTTTCGCGATGTTGCACGTAGCTAAATGTAGCGGATTCCCGTGCAAAGGCGCGACGAGTGGGGGCTCCTTTAAAAGCGAACGTGCATCGATGGAAACGCGCAAACGAGATGGAACTTGTTCACTGTAGAGACGAATAGCTTACCCCGAAATGCCGGGCATTCTTCCCACTCCTTGCGGTAGCGTTGCTTGTACTTTGGGCCTGATTTCATTACCCACTTGTCGGAGTCAACCTTGTCGTTCATGGATAGCGCAAGGCCGGCGTAGTGTCAATCAAATAAGGTAAGGTCGAGCATGCACTTTTTTTCAGAACTTTCAGTATTCTTCTCAGCAGCGTTTCTTCGCCCGTCGACGCTGTCGTTGAAGGCTTGTAGCAGTTCTCCGTTTTTGTTCACACTAGTTTCGTACAACTTTACCGTGCACTTCGCGTCTCGTTTGAACCCCTTATTTTTACCGTAAGAGCCGCTAGCGTAGTTTGGCTGACCAACAGGAATGTGCGTGAGCAGTTCGTGTTAGAAACGATTGCAACCGTTGCGTCGTCAACGCATGTTTACTCAAAATTTTATTTCATTTTTGTTTTCCGCGTTAAATGTGTTACGGACCGCTGACGCCAGGTTGCGCGCTGAACACTGGCGCTAGTTTCGATTTCGTTTCTTCGTTCGCGCTTTTTACAAAGATGCTGTGTATATTTTAATGCATCCCAGATGCGTTCTGTGCCCTGCGCTTTTTGTGAATCGAGGGACATTTGATACAGCGTATGTTTGAATCCCACGGGAACGAATTCATTTCTCTAAATTTCTCAATGATGAACGCTAATATTTACTAATAGTGCAGTCTTCTAGAACGCTGTACTAATAGTAATAGGTGGATAGAAAAATCGTGGCTCTCGCAACTAGATGGATGGATGGATGGATGTGGCTGTACCCTTTAGATCGGGCGGCGGCTAACGCCACCTAGCCATAATATTTAGTTAACTAACCACTAGATTTATCTTTTTTTTTCCTTTAAATGGTAAAGTTCAGGACTGGTAGTTTGCAGTGAAGGGTTTAATTTTCACTCGTGCCTCGACTTTAGTCACCAACCAGACAACCTTCTTCTAGTTAATTCTACCCGCTTAAGGTCTATTTTGCCCTCCCTGTCCCTAAAACCCAGTGCTTTGAAAAACTCTGTGCCATCATCCTGAACTATAGGGTGAAGCCCTTTACAGAACATTATCAAGTGTTCGGCCGCTTCCTCCTCCTCTCCACATGCACTGCATACTGTGTCTACCCCTTTGTATTTGGCCCGATATGTATTGGTTCGCAGTACTCCCGTACTAGCCTCAAACAGTAGAGAATTACCCCGGGTATTATCATAGATCCTTTCCTTGGCAATTTCCTGCTTAAAAGTTCGATAGATCTCCAGTGCGGACTTGTTAATCATGCCGATTCTCCACATGTCGGTCTCCATTTCCTTCACTTTCTTCTTAACCGATAGTTCTTTTTGGTTTGGCCCCCTGCTGTTTTCTAAGTACTTGGCAGTCAATTTCCTGGTTCGCTTCCTCCATTTTGTATCGAAATTCTTCAAGCACAAGTAGCTGAAAACCTTCCTAGCCCAACGTTCCTCCCCCATTTCTCTCAATCGCTTCTCAATTTTATCTTGCTGCTAGCTTCCCTGCCCTCAAATGATGTCCATCCCATATCACCTTATACTCCCTGATTTGGAGTATTCCCGTGAGCTCCTAAAGCAAGCCTACCTATTCCACGTTGCTTAATTTCTAATCTTGCTTGAACCTCTCATGCACAAGACCGCATTGCCAAACGTCCGACCAGGAACCATGACCCCTTTCCATATTCCTCTCACAACCTCATATCTATTGTAATTCCACAGTGCCCTATTTTTCATGACTGCTGCATTCCTGTTACCTTTAGTCGTCACGTATGTTTCGTGTTCCCTTAGGTACTCGGTCCCATTGCTTATCCATACGCCCAGATATTTGTATTTATCTGTTATTCCTAGCGTGACCTCCTGTATTCTAAGCTCACTACCTTCATTTTCATTAAAAATCATGACTGCTGATTTTTCCTTACTGAATCTGAAATCTAATCTATCTCCCTCATTACTGCAGATGTCCATTAATCTCTGCAAATCTGCAAATAGATTGTGCAAAATATATTGTGCAAATCTCTGCAAATAGATTGTGGGCTACAGCGCCGTCTGCACCGATTTCCGGTTCGAGGCGCCATGATGCCGTGCGGGCATTCTTGCCAGGCCGTCGTTTTCAGCGTGTTTCACCTTGCACGCGTGGTGTCATTTTTTTTTTTTATAAATTGCTGCGTGATACTTTGGAGTGATATGCAGCATGATTGAATAATAAATGAAATCACTACGAGATAGTTAAAATCACGCGAGCGGTCATTTTTTCATTGAAGTGGCTTGCACCTCCGGACACATGCTTGTTGTTTTGCAGCGAAGGTTATATTGCGCATGTTTTGTCACGTACAAAGATTCCTGCACATCATGGGATCACGAAATATCCATTCACTTGTTTTCATGTTGCTCGCGTACCCATAAAATGATTAATTTAGTTTTTGGTTGCAAAGATACCTTTCCGGGCTTGATATAGAGAATGGCCGTAGTAATGTGTTTCGAATGCTACAAACGAAACTTGCTCGTAGTTCTCTGGCTTTTTTATTATGCCTCTAAATATTTCTCTAAATAAGGTGTCGTCACTCACACGCTCAAACAATGTTTTTCAATGCATGCAAAATTATCCGTATTCAGCATACAATTGTGCACGATAGCCTTTAAGGCTATGGGTCGGAGTATGACATGACCTATCAGCACTTCACGCTTCCAAGTCTGACAACAGAGACGCCATACCATGCTACTCGTTGCTTCAAAAGCGACTTCGATCGTTTTACGTCGCATGATACCATTATCTGAGTGGCCGTATTGTTCTGTGGGCTTTTTACGCACTCACCTCTTTCAATCAATTTGACTAACAGTTAGCGATGCAGATTTCAAATAGAAGTATACTATATCGGCAAACTTGATCACGCAAAGTACGCGTACATATATAGACATCGTATGTATACTGACATATGACAGCATGTGAACATACGTGTGAGTAATTTTGAAGTGGTCTCGGTAAGTGTATGCGCTCAAAAATAGTAAATCGAGGTGATTCTGCAAAAAGTTACTGCGTGTTTCAAAGCATAACCGCGCGCAGTGCTCGAAACCTATCTCTCAACGTTCTTCGTTTTGCCGATGTCCACATCTCGCTTGGTTCCCTGGAATGCGCGAAATATCATCTTTCCATTAAAAAAAAAGAATTCAAGAACACAATCATTGACCAAGCAGCAGCAAAAGCGTCACAGAATTGCACGTGTTTCCACCCCGATTACACTGCGCAGCAGGCACCTTGAAGCAGCGAAGGGATAGGCCTCGAAACAGAAGTACCGTAGCAGACGAAGCGCCGTTTTGCTATCCACCTATTGCCATTCAATGCGATGGGCCGCACTGTCAAGGAGTCCCTGCTCTCTGCATTATCCAACACCCAAGAGGGTATGTAGTAATCAACTATAGTGGTCTCTGCATCATGATTTTACTTCAACTGGCCCCTGACTCATCACTTTACACCAAGGTCACAGTCTTTGCACATTGTGATCAAATGAGAGTGGTGAAAGACTTAAACAGGACTGGTTTGCAAAACCGACTAAGTCCTTATTGTGATGGGTTGCAAAATGCAACAACCACCTGCGTGCGTAGATTTAGATGCATGTTAAATAATTGTAGGTGGTCAAAATTAATCCAGAGCCCCTCACTAGGGCAGCATGCCTCGTAATCATATCGTGGCTCTGGCACTTAAAACATGAGCATTTATTATTATTATTATTATTATCATTAAACATTTAAGAGGAGCAGTACCAATGTTTAATTAGAATCATCATGGTATTTATTTTTTGCCAACAAATGCACACGGAAAAAAAAAAATCAATGAAGTAGTGTCCGCATATTCGAGTATGTCTTATTTGGCATGCTTGACTGGCATAGCATGAAATAGTTGTACCGACTAGGTGAATACTGACTAAGCTCAAATACAAAGCTCTTAACATTGTTCCTTAGCAAAAAGAAAAAAATCGGATTGCTGTGTACCATGCAATAAGTTCGTTTACAAAAAAATATAGAGGGAGGCTCTTTTAAGAAAGTTGCCATGAAAGTGCCTCTGTACTGTGTGTGTTTCTGTGCGACTCTGTGTGTGTTTTGCAAAGAAGGTTGCAGTGAGCACTGGTACTCAGCTGGATGGGATGCTATCTTTCTGCTAACAGGATTTCAGTTCCTGGATGCAAGCTAGACATTTTTTTTTTTGTGTGTGTATTGGTCATGATTTATGTTGCCTGGCTCAGCCATTTTACCTTTCGCAATATGCACAGGGCCAGTTCAAGTATGCTTAAACCTCGATACGATGAATACTAATATAACAAATCATCGGTTAATTGAAGTACATGAAAAATAGTCTTCCAATAGATGCAGCATTAGGAATATACATTTACCACAAATTTTGGGATATAATGCAACTTATTGTTGTGTAAGATGCAACTTTGCTATAATCGGGTCTGAGTGTACATCATGTCACAATACTTGTTCTCGCGACTTGGTAAGATTAGCAAAAAAAAAAGGTTAGGAACATCATTTTAAATAATGATGTATATTTACAGTAACTTGTGCTGTGCGGCCATCAACCCAGTTGCACATCTCTCCGGACTCCCAATATACGCACGTCATTGGTTCGGACCAAGAAGAAAGTCTATGAGTGATAATCTTGCAGGAGTACAAGTGCCATAGAGTTGCTTGACGCATTCAGGTTGAACGTCCAAGAATAGAGCTGCTGTCAAAGCGTGCTAACAATGTCACAGGAGAAGCGTCCACTTTTTCCAAGAGTTGTCAAAGCATTGGCAGCACTGTCTCGCCAACAGTCGATGGCTTTGCAAGACTCGTACTTGACATTCAACAGCATCTATTGAAGAAAAAAATAAGATTTCTATAAATTTATCAAAGTGTGACACCTGTTTTGTCATGTCGCAGGTAGCGGAAGCAGAACACCACAGGACGTGTTCATTCTTGCACAGAACTGTGTACATAATCATCAGCCTATTTTATCTCCACTGCAGGACGAAGGCCTCTCATGATGATCTTTAGAGGGACACAAAAGTCAAATAACAATTTACGTCGGAGTGAAAGATCAATATATGACATCTAAAATGACGAGTATTATCAACAGAAGTGCCCTACTTATCGAGAAATTAAGCCTAATGCGTAAGAATGCATGCACTATGCGTGGAACTTTCGCAAAATGATCCCGATGATGTCAGATGAACCGCCTGCAATTAACCACTTGTAATCGATCTAGCTGTGCTAAATAAAGAACCTTCCGTGCATCAAGATACACAATAAAATGCTGCTTGTTCATTTCCGCTTGATTTATGAAAAAAAGAACCGCCAGATGTTACTATGAGAATGGCCTGAGGGGTTCAAAAATTCAATTATTGTGTAGGTTAAACTAGACAGGTCGTGCCATCTAGTGGTGCTCAGTTGAACCAAAACACGTCGGCCATTTCGGAGCCAATGGCAGGAAATTGATCAATGGCCGTTGTTGCTGCTGTGGCTCCCACTGCTTTTGTTCTACTACTAGTGTCGGCAACCCTGCACTAAAGCCGGGCAACGTTGTGCACGGCAGCAGTGTTGTGAGATAGTCCACTTCTTGAGGCGGGTATTTTTATGCGTGCTAACCCGACCCAGAGTACTAAAATAAGCCCTTCCTTGGCACAATAGAAACACTGCGAGGTTTCGTCAACTTAATAGTTGCCTTTAGTGTCCCTTTAATTTTCCCCATCTTGTGCTAGCTTATTGATCGATTAAAACTTTATTTTGGTTCTGAGAAGACGCAGGGGAGACCTCACGCGACCCGGCTAATCCCACGTAGGGACCGTCAAGCCGAGCTTGGCGGCCCATTTACGGGCACTCTGGACGGCCAGGGTTTGATCGTTAAGTTCGGGGCTGCGTCAGAGCGCAGCCCACCTGTCCTCACAGCAAGCTGACTATGTTTTATGCAAGAAAACTTCGTAATTTTCTTGTTCCCTCTACTCGCTGTTGTCCTCAGCTACATTTTCCAGTCCAACGCATCATATAGCTGATCCAGGTTCATTTCATTAGCATAATGTCAACTAAAATATTAGCTATAGCTGTTTTCCCCATTCCCATTTCTTCGTCTTCCGATCTCTTAATATACGATAATACCTCTAAATACCTACGATTCTCCATTCCACTGCCTGCAAAACGGTCTTTAACTTCTCGAGTTTTTTCGTTATTATCAAAGTTCCAGCTCGTGTTAAAACTAGCAATATAAAATGATCATGCACTTTTCACATTCAGGTAGAGCGGCAGGTCGCCTGTCATGATTTGGGGATGTTTGCTGTGTGCACTCAAGATTATCTTTACAGTTTGGCAAGTTTATTTTTCATGAGCAGGCTCCCCTGTGAGCAGTTAACTTGCTTGTACAGACATACATACACATTTGGGCTGCATACTGACATTAGGGCTAGGTAGTATGTGTTCATCCTGATACAAAAAGGTGGGGCACACTAACAGACAGAAGAAGAAGAGGATACAAGCACACACTCGCTACTGAAAGTTTACTGAAGACAACACATATACAGAGCGTTTTCAGCTAAAAAGCATCAAGCAATAAAAAATTAAAAATGAGTGCTACGTGTCTCCAGCTAGCGCAGTATTGTTCTTGGCTGTATGTAGCACAACAAAATGTTTTTTTATCCACCAAGCATGGTAATTAACAAATATTGCTTAATGAACTTTTGAAAGATTGACTCTAGAGAAAAAATTTCAATACAAGACTTGTAGCTCTTATCTAGAAATAACAAAATTTTCAAGTTGGGGTAAGATAACAACGCTGGTTAATCATTCTCCGGAGTTTGTTCAAAGTGTGCGAAATTCAAAAAATACCACGCGATTGCTGCCTTGCGCACGGCGCTTTGAGTGACCTCAAATGTAAGTTGAACAAATTAGCGAAGGCTTCTCACGCACAAAGGTCGCTTGAACAGGCTATCAGTGATACGATGAACATTAAGCGATGGTTGGATGGTACCATCAAAAAACAAGGGTGGGAGGGGGGCGAGAGAAAGAAACGAAGACAATAAACTCCGACGAAAAAACGGCTGCCACGTGCATTGCGATACGATACCAGAGACAGCATTCGGTGCGGTGCAGAAGTTTCTTTTTTTTTTTTCCTTTTCAGACCAACGATAAACATTATGGTGGGAAAGAGGGTTCGAAAAGAAATCGTTGTCGTGCTGCCCTCGCCAGTAGCTTACACAAAACTTGTTGACTCCAAAGTGACTACCGGCGGTTTCATTGCCATTGTTTAGTGCATGATCAATCACTTTCAACTTGTAATAGCATAGCCACAGAATGGATGCAACGTACCACGCTGCTACACGCACTTGCCACTTTGGCTTGGCTTGAATTGTATTGTGGCTCCGTGTGTTCATAGTACACACACTGCTTAAGAGATAGCGCCAGGCTCTCATGTGCTATCATCATCAGTGGTAGAAAGAGCAAATGACATTACGGTTGCAATTTTCTGGGGTGCGATGGTTACTCACGGGGAAAATTGTATTTTTTGCAGGGCAATGTGGGGGGTGCGAGAATTGAGAAAGTGCCCCGCCGCGGTGGTCTAGTGGCTAAGGTACTCGGCTGCTGACGCGCAGGTCGCAGGTTCGCATCCCGGCTGCGGCGGCTGCATTTCGAGGCGGAAATGTTGTAGGCCCGTGTGCTCGGATTTGGGTGCATGTTAAAGAGAATCCCAGGTAGTGAAAATTTCCGGAGTCCTCCACTACGGCGTCTCTCATAATCATATGGTGGTTTTAGGATGTTAAACCCCACATATCAATCTATCAATTGAGCAAGTGTGAGGATTACACAACTCAATATGTAAAATGTTAGAACGGAAACAACTGCTGTGCTAGCGTTTCTGTGATTTGTACAGTACATTTATTAGTGCTAAAGCATTATTTAAAGCGCCTTGATATGCCTGAACGCAAAACTCTGAATTTCCTAACAATCAATCTAGAGGGCACTTGCCTTTATGAGAGAGCCGAAAGAAGGGGCTGCTCATGCAGATGTGATAGCGTGGCCTCTTTCGATACACTTGGCACGTGCCATTGCCACGGAATCTCTCCCACGTCACTACAGAAGTACGCCATGAAGTCGTTCCTGGTCCCTGCGCCAGACACGTCCCCATCTTCCGTGTGCTTAGCCTCGAGAGGAAAATAGTGTGGCTCTGTTTCATTTGCCTCTGCCACACTTTGCCGCCAGCGACCCGGAACCACATTACCAACGCTGTCTTCAGTGTCTTTGTAGCCTTCCAGGTGCGGATTTAGGACAGTGAGGAAGTTATGCAACATGCAAGCTGCCCTGATGACATAGTCGGCATTGCTTGGCTGTAGGTGAATAGCTTGTAGCAGCACCCTCCACCGAGCCGCTGTGAGTCCAAAGGCATTGTCTGCGCATCTCCTGCGTAAGCATAGAAAAGGAGTGAAAGAGAACAAAATTACATTTATTTGTTGTGTTTAGTGTCCAAAAGTGCAACTTATGTGGCATGCTGCAGTGGTACGTTCCGTATTAACATTCACTTCATATTAGTGGAGTACCGTATTAGGTTCCATATTAGCATTCACTTAGTATTAGTAGAGTACCATATTAGGTTCCATATTAACATTCACTTCGTATTAGTGGAGTACTGTATTAGTGACACTATACTATAGAAATGTAGTAGTATACCGTTCCGAACTGAGGTGGTAAATGTCAAGTGTGAATTGTGATGGATGCTGTAGTGGAACGTTCCGTATTAACATCGACACTATATTAGCACAGCAGTAGAAAAGGTGTGTAAACCTGAGGCTGAGGGAGCACTGAAAGTCCCTCCAGGGTATTTTCCCATGACACACTTGGCCGTGCACTGCCGGGACTGCGGGTGCACTGCAGATTTTTTGAGAATGAGGGTTATTTTCCGCCACTGCGACCAGTTGACAAGGTAAATATTCGAAGCCCACAGAATTCAAAAGGAAGGGCAAAACTGTGTCGGTGAACTGTCTTGCTCACCATGGTAAGAAAATATAATTTTCAGATTATTACCACTAACATCGTTAGGACAAGATGCTTCGTGTCTACACAGTTTTTTAAGGGCGAAGCTCCTTAGTGTGTGGGTCTGTCCATCCTCTGATGGTGTATGTAGCCACCGGTGGCACATACCAGAAAAAGCGGTCCTTAGAATGTCCACTGGATGGCGGCACTTGTATATGATGAATACATGATGAAAAGATGTGATAGCTGTACTTGGGAGTGTTCACTAGATAGACGGACGGACATATAGATGGACGGACACAAAGACAGAAGGGTAGACACACGGATGAACGGACAGAGAGACTGCCGCATGAACAGATGCACAGACGGACGGGCAAACAGACGTACGGACGGATGCACAGAAGGACACACGAAGGGACGGATGCACCGACGGTCACACGGATGGACAAATGCATGGACAGGCGCATGGATGGATGGAAGCAAGAACGAATAGACGAACGAAAGCACGGACAGACTGATGAACGCTTCGCCCCACCAATCATCTTCACTCCATCGATATGCTGTGATTTTTTTTTCAGTTTTCTTGCCTAGCAAGAGCAAGCGCAAATAAATGTATATGTTTGGTGTTTCTTCATTAAATTTCTCAGTTGAAACAGCACTTTTTTTGTGTCCTTCCTTTACTCTGTCTTCATTTTTTTGTGCTGTTTATCTCGACCAGTAGAGGAGAGTTCTTTATTATCACTTATGTTACTTCAACACTTCAACGTGTACCCAAAGCATAATACACTACCGCTTAAGTATTCTTCCCCCAACAATAATCAGCTGCTGTGTCCAGAAATTTTTGCTATACAGAACTTAGCAGCAGAATATTATTTGATTGGGGCAAACAAAACAAATTTTTACAAAGGAGCACAGTGAAATAAATGGCTAAAAAAAAACTTTTACCCAGAAAAGGAAAAAAAAAAGTAAGGGAGAAGAGGTTAACAACCAGCATCGCAACTTGACATACCGAGATAATTTGCCATATTTGCATAACTGCACCCTAGGTTATCGCTGAACACCACAGTCTGAGGATAATTAATATAATGAAATCCATCAATAAATGCAGATAGAAATAGACTGTGATGAGTGGTTATTTTGCGAGATTGTTGATTGTTTCAGTTTGTGCATGCTTTTTCATCAGTGGCTGCAATAGTCTGTAAAAAAACAACAAGATGACAAAGCAATGTAAAATGAGCTTGTGATGACTTCAGCGATTGGTTGATTGAGTTTTAATATACTAACGCAGCAGTTGGGCTTCGAAAAACACCCTTCTGTTAAGTCAAGCTTAAATTGTAATAAGTAAAATTCTGTAGCCACAGAGTCATGATGGTTCATGACTACAATTATTATCTATGTTTAATGATTCTGTTCAGTTTCGTGCAGTTGAAGACAGATGAACTTAACGCAGTGACGTGTGTCGGCATTTCTTGTATTGTGCAGAGACAAATAAATTCATCATTGTAATGGCAGAATGGTGTGCCACCATAACAAAGGCCACCACCATACCAAAATGTTTTGTGTTGGCAGTGAATTATATATATATATGAAGTTTTTCCAATAGGCCAAACGTACTTGGGAAGAGAAGAGACACAACTTAGTGGTTGTCTTAATTTTATTTCTAATGGTTTCGACCGGTGAACCAGCTTTTGTCAGTTTTGCGGACTCGACAACACACACATGTTGGGAAAGAAGAAACACTCGGTACTAATAAGCTGCGCTTTTATGCAGTTTAATCTCTGTAAGCGCACAGATTACTGGTAAACAAAAATTAAACAATTGCCTACGTGAAATGTTCCGGCAAGGTTTTTTCTATGAAGTGAAAATCTACGTGAAATATGCTCATGAGAGTAACTATTCAGCGAATGAAGTACAGTACTCGCGAATCGAAATGCGAATTAAGGCACTTTTGTTTCTAGCATCTACAGTTTTTGACGAATTGGTGTAATTTTGACACGACCACTTCCATACGAGCTAGCATTACCTTCAGAGACTAGGTTTGCAGCAACATGATGCAGCCTTCATGAAAATCTTTTATAGTAGTAATTATACAAAACAAAAAATGTTGCATTCCAATCTACGAGTACTGTAGACACATATCCAAAAGCGAGTCGCAGTACCCAAATACATGCCTCATTGCATCCAACTTATTATCAACGTCCTACCTCACTCTGTTCAACCTGTAGTTGAAGACTGCTTTCTCGTCTTTGGCCTCTCCAGCGGGGAATGGTATCATGAGGTTTCTCCGTAGAGGACATGCGTCCTCTCCGGCGAAGATGTAGGGGGCCATGTGGCCGTCAGCGCCGGGTAACGCAGCTGTCGAAGGATGTTTGAGAGAACCACCAAGCAGTGCCTGGCCAAGGTCTGAACTTTCAAATACATCACCCTGTTGTTCACGGCTCTTGGCGTAGACGTCAACGAAAGTGTACTTGCAGTTACTGTCGACGACAGCTACTAGCACCACGGAGAAAGAACCCTGAAATATGGGGCTAGGTTGTAAAAGCGAAATTTGAATGCACAGAATTCAGGTTGTGACGCTTTTATACCTTCTGCCTTGTTCTCAAAGTGTAATAATAACAGTAACGAGAATGACAGGAAGAATGAAGGTGAAGAGGAAGACAATCAATTTAAAAAATAAAAGCGCTAACTCTGGAGCCGGCAGGAAAGTCAACTCCTGAAGAAAAAACTGAATGGGTATAAAAACGTAGGGCCAGTTTTTAATATTCAAAATTGAAGACTAAACGTGGGTAGAGAGTCTGCTTATCATATGATTTTACCCAGACAGACGAATCTGTGTCAGATAAGTGTTTCTTTAATAATAGCCTCTGATGCTGCCTCTGAAATTACATACGTGAAAGTTTCACATTTATGCATTAAAAGTTCGTCATTTTTTTTTTAACTGGAAAGAGGCTACAAAGTTGTTCTAATTAAGTGAAGTTCGAATTGGGGGGCAGGCTCTAAAAGGAATGACATCGTGCCACACTGCATGCAGTACCAAAAGAAGCCACCTGTGGACTCATTATCACAAATTAGGTACTGCTACAGCTTTGTGGCAGATGATTTCGTAGATTGAGTTCATGGAGATCTAACAAAATTAATCAGTCAGTGATACACGAGAAGCAAGCACCAACATGTATTCATCTGAGCGGTGAACATCAAAGTTGAAATATACGAGCTCTTTATGCTCTACAAAACGTTTATTCTCATGGCATAGTTAACAAAATCAAAAGTAAAATCAGTAATATGCTATTGCTTGCATTCTTTCAGTCGCGAGCATTGTTAGCAGTTTACGCATGAGCTCCATCACATCTGCCGAAGAATGCTCCTCTTTCATTGTTCTGCACCTATAGTAACTTTGGTTTGATTTTTTAACACACTGTGATCACTCACGGCTGACTGCTGCGAGCGATGAAAACCAGGAACTTCCCATTCAAATTAAGTGTCGGGGATGCTGACGCACTCGAATAATCTGAAGTTCTGCCACATATAATTACATGGGGCTTTTGCAGGACTAGGGTGTCAGTTTGAATTAACTGTAAGTTCGAATTAATAGAATTAAATAGCTTTTGCTACATGTGTCTCGTCTTTGGGAGCCTATAGAGTGAATGTGAGGGCAAGGCAAGTTTTCACATTCATGCACATGGGCAAACACCAAATTATACAGCCATGTAACATTTCATTTCTACTTATGTGCACATTAAAAAAAAACCTGATCAATAATTCCCGAGTACTCCTCCCCCTCTAACCTCCTCTCTTTACAAAATCCCTCATAATAATATTGCTTTTTTGTGATGTAAACCCTCAACAATAAAATTTCATTTTTACATAAATTAGTGTCAATAATAGATAAAATACTTGTGCATACTGTATCCTAGAATTTATCTATCACTTGCTGTGTTTATTACCTTCAGGCACTACAGCAAACAAAAAGGTAAGTGCATCATGTTATTGTGCAGACGAGCAATGAGGCAAGTCACTGCCAGTGCAGAAAAAAAGAGATCGCAGTCACTCTGGCTGCCTTTACATAGGCTTGTACAAGTAGTGAATTTTAGGTTCGAAGCAAAGTTTGCTCAAATAATTTTGATTTGAATTGGAATAGAATATATATTGCATATTATAAAAGAAAGGGGGCATATTTGTCATTACAATATTTTTTTTTAAATTCAAACAAGGCCTGTGCAAATTCCAATACTTTTTTGTGTCAATGGAAGTGGAAACATCTTTGAATAGGGCCCGGATTTGACTTCTGGTAGAATGCAACTGATAGCATGTAAAACATGTTACGTTATAAAATTTCCTCTACATAAAGCATACAAGTCGGTATTACGAGCTTCTAAACTGAAAAAAAAAAATATATATATATATTGATCGGTGTGAGGGTACTATCCTCATTTAACTTCGAAATGGAGCTTCAAGGCAGCGTAGATTTCTTCTGGATGTGCGTTTTCACGGTTTAGCACCACTTCACTGCAGTGAAACCACTTTTGTGGAAGGTTACACACAAACTAATATGCACTTGAATAGGTATTTTCACGGCTTAGCACCCCTCCAGTGCAGTAAAATCGCCTTTAAAAAACGTTACATGCAGATTAATTCGCATCTATTCATTCGTTTCGAACAATAATTTAAATGCAATTCAAAGCAAATTCAAATACTGCATTATTGATTCGAATATTCAAAGCATTAGAATATTTGCAAGAGCCTACTTTTACATAATGAATCAACTGTGAAGATCTTTGTAAAATACTCAGTGGTTTTGGCAAGTGGCACTCTGCATGCGCAAGTGCTCACTTGGGTAAATCGTCATTACACAAACACCGCCCAGCATATATACTTACCTTGTGGTTCATGTATCCACAACCCGATTGGCGAGGGGTGACGACTGTAACGTGCCTGCCACCAACAGCACCCAGGCAGTTGGGAAACTGACAACTCTTCTCAAAGTTGTCAGCTATTTTCAGCCAATCTTCTGTAGTCGGCACCTGCAATTGTTTATCAAAGAAAAAATGAAGAGCACAGTCTTCAGTCTTTTGCAGAAAGTATTTCTGCCAGGAATACCTGTCATTATGAATATTGCCCTTACAGCACATTCACACAGCCCTAGAAGCAAGCTCTCACAACTGTTCTAATGAGGGATGCTAGTAATCTATCGTCTCCTCCGCTGCGTTGTCATGCTGCAGCACACCCGTTCAACCTTGTCTTGCATGACTGTCATGCACTATCAACTGATCTTGCTTTGTTTTGTGTCTTTTCCACTGCAAAAGCAGAGATAACAAGTGTAGCAAAGAACTTTTAAATCCTGACAGGCTCAACACAAAGTTGTGACATTGTCACCGTGTATATGCACAAATAAGTGGCGAGAAGAAGATAGCACTTGTAATAAATTGAGGCAAAACCACTCTTTCTTAAAACTCAGAGTGGTTTATAAGCTCTTTAAAACCCCTTGGCAATGCAGCCATCATGGGTCTGTTAAAGGCGGGGTAAAATGAAAATGACTTTGCATGGCCGTATTAAGCGCACCATTCTAATTAAGGAGCTTGTACATTCGAGCCATTGTGAGTTGTAAGCGAGTTTGTCTGTGGCACTTGAGGCATTCAGAGATAAAGCATACAGCCTTACATCTGTATATTCTGCCTGAGCTTAGCTATATATCTGCAATAAAAGAATGAACGCTCTCTGCACAGCACATGCGAGTTGACTAACACTTGGCAACTTTGTACCACCAACCATTAGTTTGTGTAAAATGTGTATTCGGGACTGGCAATAATTTTGAGTTACTTACCTTCAAAAAACGGTGACTCAAACGAGTCCAGATCGCCCGGCAGGTGTCATGAATGGTTTTGCGTGCAGTTTCAGTTCCCACGAGATAAGCATTGGCGACTTCTCTGATGTCCTTGCCTGTGGCTAGGTAACTGCAAAAAGAAGGCACGGCATCATCGTAAATTAAATTAAAGCTTATTTTTTATTGCAAATAGCATTTTTGTGGAAAACGTGTCTGAGCATACACACACCAGATAGATATAAATGAAGATGTTCTGACAGCCAGTTTTAAGCTTTTCCTGGCTTATAGTGCAAGGACTTACAAGTCTTGCCACCATGCCACAGTTTCTTGCCTGGAATAAAAATGTCATGCAGGCTTCATGGGCGTGCATTTCAACGCTTGACGCATTTTGCAGATGACAATGGTAGCCTCTACAAATTCCTTCACGCATGCAGCTTGCATGTCGGCACGCTTAGCATGTTTTTACACCATGGAGGAAGTGAGTCTTTGAGTTGTTGATATGCTATTCGCATGTATTATGATGACTACCACTGGTCAATTTCTGCTGTTTTAGCTCTCTCTGACTGAAGCTAGTCAACAATGTCAGTTCTACCAAGCTCATCGCACTTTGCGTGTGCCCTGTATTAAACATGGCATCAATCTGAAGCATTTTTGTACTCTGGACAACATAAACATACAGCACCAGCATCGACACTTGCTCATCATCATCGTTTCCAGCTTGTTTATGTTTACTGAAGGATGAAGGCCTCTTCAAATCATCTTCAGCTTGCTCATATTGTGCAAGCTGATTTGATTTTATGCCTGCGAATTTATTTCCGTCACCACGTATAACTCTGTGTTCCTCGACGGCGTTTGTCACTTCTATCCATTATTTCCCGTCCCTTCTGAATCTTTGTCCACCGGTTGTCTGTGGCCAGCCCAGGTCCATTTTTTTCCGCTTAATGTCAACTGAAATATCTGTTACTCCTGCTCGTTCCCTGACCCATTCTGCAGTTTTTCGATCCCTTAATATATTGCTATCATTTTTTGTTTCATTGCACGCGACACGATGCTCAACTGCTTCTCTCGGTGCTTTGTTATCCTTTATGTTTCAGTCCCATATATAGGAACTGGCAGTATGTAGTGATGCGCTTGCTACAGGCAACAGTCTGCTCCTTTTATTTTCTTGTGTTGCCCTCTGCCGATTCGGTAGAGTTTTGGTCAGAATTCGGAATCGGAACCATGCCCACAACGAAATCCTCAGAGATTAAGAGGCGTGTTGGGATGTGTCTGTGCATAGACCTTAGCATTGTGGGAAAAAAAATAACGAGAAAAATGGCAGATTGTATGTAAATACGACCAACCTCAACGTTATTGCGAGTCTCTCTCCTGGTTCTAGCGGCTCCCTGACCAAATGTTGCCGAGTTAGGTCGTCCTCCACAAAGGAGAGCAGAGCGTCGAATAGCCGTGGTGTCATGCGATACAGTTTGAGGAAAGGATCATAATCTCCCTCACGAAGTCGACGCATCTGAAATGTAAAAAAAAAAGAAGACAGGATCACCAACAATCAAAATTATAACATGAACCTCTGCTCCATGCAGTGAAGTGAATGACTTGTCCCTTTTTGTAGCACAAAAAAGTGCTGGTTTGGAGCAGCTGCTGACGTTTTAGTAGCAGATGGAAAAATATGCTCTACTACCCCTGGTGTTCAAAGCACCACTGAAGTATCTCATAATTACCAATATTTACTATGAAAGATATTTTGCAGACAATAGTCAATGTGATGTGCAAAGAGCAATAAATGAAAAAGTTGGTGCAACGTGAAAAAGTTGGTGCAACGTGAAAAAGATGGTGCAACGTGAAAAAGATGGTGCAACGTGAAAAAAGATGGTGCAACGTGAAATATACCTATATTTAAAACCTATCGCAGAAATGATATCATGCTGACAAGGCTGAGTACACATAACAGTAACCGTGGTCACAAATAACTATTGCCAAAACAGCAGTTGCCCCGCCACGGTGGTCTAGTGGCTAAGGTACTCGGCTGCTGACCCGCAGGTCGCGGGATCGAATCCCGGCTGCGGCGGCTGCATTTACGATGGAGGCAAAAATATTGTAGGCTCGTGTGCTCAGATTTGGGCGCACGTTAAAGAACCCCAGGTGGTCGAAATTTCCGGAGCCCTCTACTACGGCGTCTCTCATAATCATATGGGGGTTTTGGGACGTTAAACCCCACACATAAATCAAAACGGCAGTTGAATCGGCATGAGATCAAGTAAATCTGTTATTTTCTTATTTAACCTGCAAATCAAATTAATAATAATAATAATAATAAAAAAATCATAATAATAAACCGCCAAATGAGCCATGCGCTTAACGCAGTACCAGTACTTCTTGCATAGATGAGACCAGAGCCGAAAAGGCTGCGTGCTAGCAATCCGGGATGATAGCATACAGATTGTCTCTGGTTGCTTTAGGGGCTTGCCAGTTGGTCACACGGTTGAAGTACCTCGTCTGCACTTTCTTAGTGCCGTTTCAGAGCAGGTTCCAGGCAGTGCTTAACAGCAATCAAAGTTTGGAGTAGTATGTAGCAGCACTCCTCTTTTAGGGCAGTTTGGAGCGATTGGAACAGCACTTCCATCACTGTACGTTCAATGATCCATAGCGTAGTGACGGCACAAAAGACGGTAATGCGGACTGGTTGGTTGGGATAACTTGCACTGATTACGGTAGCGCAAAATAGACGCTACAAAGGACACGTTTATAGGGCGATTTGATGTCTAGCATCACATGAATAGCGCATCCAGGACAGGACAGAGAAGACACATACACAGCATTGTTTTCTTCTCTACCCCGTCCTGGATGGGGATAACAAGCGCGTCGTGCAACCTTAGTTGACGTCTAGCGCCCGTCCTGTCTACGTGGCCTCCTTGATTCTATGTTTCTATATTTCGTTTTTTTTACGCTACCGACATGAATGCAAGTTGGCTCAAAAGAATAGATAGTCACCGCGGTGTAGTAGAGACTCCTCTGTTTGCGTTCCAGGATCGCTGGCCGGACCCAAACACGCCGCCTCTCTTGGCGCTGCTCTTCCAGCAGCTTTAAAAGAAGGATTTTCTTTTTCAAAAGCAACAGCTTTCTTCTCCTGCTGAACATCGTGAACCTGTGTTGAGTGAGGATCAATTAAAACACTAATCAACAAAGCAGCTAACGCAGTAGCAGCAGACGAGAAGGTGAACTGACGATGCCGCTGCCAATGTGAAACCGAGTCCTGCTCTATGACACTCGTAAAGATGACATGTATTGTTTGTTTGTTTGTTTGTCTCCTTAAACTTATTACTCGCACCCACTCAGGAAAATGGACCAAGAAAGCGTAGTGCACTTTTTCTGTGAGCATTACAACTATGTGTAAGAATGAATTTGTAGTATAATATAACTAATGTAAGGAAAACCACACCGTTGCCATCGCGACATCTTTTTTTCTTTTTATTGTTCTTGAAATTAGAATAAATTGACGCTTGTAGTGATAAATTTTGCTGTATTTACTGTAGAAAAGTGCAAAGGTACAGCCTTTGAGATTTGTAGCTAAGACTTGGAGACAACAATCGTATAACGTAATTGGCCAGAATAGTGGAAGAAAGTAATTTTCATAAAACTAGTCAGAAAAAAATACATGATTGTTTGTAACGCTTTATCGTCTCGTAGAGATGTTGGTAGTCACCAAGTCATGAGGGCTTTTTTCGGTTAGAATGCGCTAGATGGCAGGACCGGTTTGTCAAGTCTAAGGACCTTAGTCAAGTCAGGCACTAGCGCGGCAATTTCAATAATGCAATAGTATGGGTTCACGGCTATTACGCGGTATTACGTACCAAAACCACAATATGACGGCAGGGCACGCCGCAGTAGAGAGCAGACATATCCCCTCCCCAGGTGTCTACGTGGGAGGTGGAGGCAGCCCCTTGCCACCCCCTCTCCTTCCGTATTACATTTAGCTCCTGTGGAGGTGAGCCGCCTCGTCTACTGTAGGCCGCACTTTTGCGCATTTTTTTCATTGTTTCTGAAGGTTCGAGTGTTCTGGCCGTACACAAGCCATTCGAACATACTGGTGTTCTACAATCCACATACTGCAAGTTCAACTGTATGTGGAACTGGAAGCTGGATCATGATTGAGTTCCAGTAGCGTAGCGAATGTTTCTACAATGTCGTGGGAAGGGGTGGGGGTTCAACCACGCTTCATGCATCTTCGTGTATGCGTTTGTATGTGTGCCTGTATATATACTCGTGAAAAATTGCAAATGTACGGAGGGCTGACTTTTCCCCTCCCCCTGATACGCCACGGGATGCGTAGATTGCGGGTTCTGTTTATCCGTTTACCCAATTAATCTCCTAGTAAAATTTCGAAAATTTTCGGAGGGTTGACTTTTCCCCTCCCCTCTCCCTGCTACGCCACGTGATGCGTAGATTGCGGGTTCTGTTTATCCGTTTACCCAATTAATCTCCTAGTGAAATTTTGAAAATTTTCGGAGGGTTGACTTTTCCCCTCCCCTCTCCCTGCTACGCCACGTGATGCGTAGATTGCGGGTTCTGTTTATCCGTTTACCCAATTACTCCCCTAGTGAAATTTTGAAAATTTTCGCAGGGTTGACTTTTCCCCTCCCCTCGCCCCTGCTACGCCACGTGATGCGTAGATTGCGGGTTCTGTTTATCCGTTTACCCAATTAATCTCCTAGTAAAATTTTGAAAATTTTCGAAGAGTTGACTTTCCCCCTCCCCTCCCCCTGCTACGCCACGTTATGCGTAGATTGCGGGTTCTGTTTATCCGTTTACCCAGTTAATCTCCTAGTTATGACACTAAGTTTTTTAAAGGAAGAGTGCAGATAACTCCTCCTGTGCGTTCCTTTGTTTAACTCAAGCTGTGGGACAGTTGGACTATTGGTATCTGCTGGCTTAATTCAAATGGTTGTGTCTAACAAAAACAAACTCCTAGATCGCGATTGCCCTTCTTTCGTTCGTTTTGGTTATGGCAGTGGTGCAACCTTCCATAGGCGTGCGCATAGGAGGGCAGGGGGGGAGGGCTGTCTTCTCACTCACTTTGGGGGGGGGGGGGGGCAAAGACAGCCTCATACTTTGGCATAATAGAGAGACAGGGAACTTATGCGTTGTGTTTTAACACCATGATTTTGGGGGGGGGGGGGGATACGGAGAGGGTCGAATCAACCCCCCTCTCCAACGGAAATAGATGTCTGCCTACACCTCTGTACGTAATCGACGTAAGACTGTACGTACACCCAACGCCGTTTGATTAGCGTACCGCGATGCGCCTGTCAAAGACGCATGATCAGCGAGACCACTCACGAAAGCCGGTTTTTCAGTACTATAATTTAGGTGCTATGCTGTGATACGGCAAAGGAGGCGTCACCTGCCTACCAGCGAGACTGACTGGTTCGCTGAAATACTTTGTATTCACGGTCAAAACATGGCCTTCTGTTCCATTCCTCTCCGTCCTTTTCGGAATACGTGACCAGCTGATTTCGCATGTACGCCGTGCATGCCAACGCATGTGGACTCGTGCGCGGTGCACAAGAATTACACCTGTGGCAGCACGCAACGTCTTGAGGCAATAGTGTAGCTCTGTGGTAGACACTCAAGGCCATGGGCTTCGCAGTTGAGCGCAAAAGAGGCACTTACCCCCCTCAAGCCGCGCCATTACTTGCACCCCCCCCCCACCCCCCCCGCCACTTAAGCTAAACTAACGCTCGGCCCATCCTCTAGTAGTGATGCAAAACGTATTTGCACCCTCCGAAACAAAGCCCAGTGAACGACCATGCGCAAGGTACACTGCCGTATGACTGCAAACCACTTACTTTTCATGTTCTTACTACTGCGTCGGACTGTAAACGTACAATTGTCTTGCTCTCCGTTTGTTCCATTATTTCTTTCTTCTGCTTTTTTTCCCCTTTTTTCTTTTTTTTTACAGCACGCCATCGCGCTGACGTTCTTCACGTATAACAAATGCCTCCTAAACTACGTGAACGAAGTCGCAGCACTTATTCCTGCCAATAAACGGATCGCCTCCTTTTGGTGGTATATGATAGAGAAGCTACCGTTTTTTTTTTTTCCTCCACAAGGATTTATGCCGACCTAAATCATCATCCCACTAACAGCCCCCCCCCCCTCCTTACACCCCCGAAAATTCTTCCACACCAACCCAAATCCTTCCATTCTTACAGAGAAGTACTCACTCACCCCCCGCCCCTATCCATATCGAAATTACGGATAAACCGTATACTTCAAGTCAAGACATGCAAGTGATGACGTAAAGCGTCCCAGGCATCCCAGGCGTAAAGCGTCCTATGCTTTGAGTCTCGAAGAAAGCAAGATTATATGTTTATTATTATTCCCTGCCCTCCCCCTCTCTGTCTCGGCGCATCGCTAAAAAACGCGGGAAAAGTCCCAGACAGGAGCTTCCATCTCTCCTCCGCTGTTCCCGCGTGGCAACCGCCTCGCAGCTGGGTTGTTATCGGAGATGTACGTCCCCGAATATCTGCGTAAAGTCACACGAGAAAGGGTCGAAAACACTGAGAAAACTGGCGTATTGGAACACGTCGGGCATCGAAGTTAGGGGACCGCCAGTAACCGTGCAGCGTGCATGGATGCTAATGGTATAGCTGAGGCATCGTCGGAGGCCAATTGGCATAGTCAAAGTGTCAGGGTCCATAGCCGGAAATAATTTTTTTATTTAAAGTGGGGGGGGGGGGGCTTAGTTGCTCTTTATGTATATTTGTGCGTGTGTTTGTATGCGTGCGTGCTTGTTTACGCACGTAAAATATAAAATTATGCGAGGCAGGAATTGAACTCTTCAACCCATGGCTATTCCAGTGATGTATACATAGGCCAGGCCAGTAGCTACAAGGTGCCCTACACCCCCCCCCCCCCCCCCGAGATTGCGGGGGCTGGTTTACCGAAAATAAGCAACGGAAATATATTTTTGTAAAGTAGTGAGTCTTCAGCAAGTACCACCCCCTCCAAGAAATTTCATAGCTGCGGGCCTGACATAGGCGCACTCAGACACGAACATACACAAAGTGGAATCGTATAAATGGCTGCCCTCCCACCCCCCATCCTCCACGATATAATATACCAGCTTACGAGCCGGTAAACCTCGTTGAATTCCAATCGCTCCGTTGAGAAGACTTTCGTAACACGTGCAAGGATATCAGAAACTTCTTACGGCTACCCAAGAAAGTGCTCTCCTAATTCAAGCCATGTCATTGTGATTTGCCGTCGAATGATGAGTGGCAGTGCATGCATACCAAACAAAACCAATCTGTCACTTACCGCGTAATGACAATAATCAAGGCGGGTGATTGAACCGCGTATGTGCAACCTAAACTGGGGAAAATCTTCGGACTTCAGTGCAACGTTGCGCTTGTATGGCTCGCTTTCAAATAACTGACATGCATCGATATATATCGAGCGCTTATATTGATTAATTTTATTGTACCCTACTTCTTCACTTGCTCTTTTAACCTGAATGTTTAATATGTATATACATGTGCTTTAAGCGTTCTGTCAAGTTGGGCAAGAGGTGGCCTTCTCATATTGATGTTCTGATTCCCAGCTGTTTACCTGGCTTGTAGCCGTGCTTGTATGTTGTCGCAGACTCGGGAGGTGCTGCTTTTCTGGTGTCATTTCTTTTCGTAACATTTCAAAGGACACACGAGTGCCCGGAGCAGGCCGTATATTATCCGCTACCCGGCAACGCGCTGCACGAAACTAGCAACAACGGGGTGCAATGTTCGGTTTCCCCCACCTCCCTTTCTCGCTCATTGAAAGAACGCCTTTTTTCTTCCCTCACTCTGCTTTCTTTATCCAGCTTTATCTTCACGGCAGCTCGACCTTTTCACCCAAACTCACGACCGCTCGCTGTGTACTGGGCATTTGTTTCCTTCTGGCCCGGCCAGCCGCAGCTGGGGACCGTGCACCCAAATCTGAGCACGGGCCTACAACATTTCCGCCTCCATCGGAAATGCAGCCAACCCAAATCCTTCCATTCTTACAGAGAAGTACTCACTCACCCCCCGCCCCTATCCATATCGAAATTACGGGTAAACCGTATACTTCAAGTCAAGACATGCAAGTGATGACGTAAAGCGTCCCAGGCGTAAAGCGTCCTATGCCTTGAGTCTCGAAGAAAGCAAGATTATATGTTTATTATTACTCCCTGCCCTCCC